ACAACAGTTACCGAGTAATCGGGCACCACAAGGCCATGGAGGCGTTGGGGGGGGGGGGGGGGACTTCTCCGAGAGCAATGGACACCCCCCTCCCCCCCTCCCCCCCCCCCGGGTGAGGGGGCCGTTCCTCGGTCTAAGGCTCGCGCACTTCTGTGGCCCGCGGGCCGCACGGCCTCAGACGCTGGGTTCAGAACATATAAAGGCCCCGGGCATCGGGCATCTTCCCACTGAAGGACCCCACCCCCCCTTCCCTCCTCCCGACACACACACGGTGTCTCCCCCTTCTGTGTCTACCCTCCACTCCATTTCCCACAACACCATGTCCATCGGTTGTGCCATCCCCGTTGAGAAGCGCGCTGAGCTTGCTCAGAACGCCGCCAAGATTGTCGCCTCCGGCCGCGGTATCCTCGCTGCCGACGAGAGGTACTTCCCCCCTTCCCCCCCATGCCCAGCGGTCTTTCTTCCCCCGGGTTCCTGACACCGCCCCCCTCCAGCACTGGCACCATTGGCAAGCGCTTCCAGAGCATCAACGTCGAGAACACCGAGGAGAACCGCCGCGCCTACCGCGAGCTCCTCTTCACCGCTGGCGCCGAGCTGGCCGACTCCATTGGTGGTGTCATCATGTTCGAGGAGACCCTCTACCAGAAGGCCGCCGATGGTCGCTCCTTCGTGGAGATCCTCAACGAGGCGGGCATCATCCCGGGCATCAAGATCGACACCGTGCGTACCGTGCATCGCCGATTGGGTGGTCTTTCTCAGCTGGCTTTTTCCTCCACGCGCCCCCTCCGCTCCCCCCCCCCTGACCTCCCTGCTTTGTCACCGATCTCGACACATGCTCTCCCCCCCCCCCCCCCCTGCCCTCGCCTCCCTCACGCACACACCCGGTCACAGGGTCTCGTTGAGATCCCCGGCACCAACGGCGAGACCGTCACCCAGGGCCTCGATGGCCTGGAGGCCCGCTGCGCCAAGTACTACCAGCAGGGTGCCCGCTTCACCAAGTGGCGCTGCGCCCTGCGCATCGACCCGGTCACCGGTGTCCCCTCCGAGCGCTCCATCCGCGCCAACGCCGAGACCCTGGCTCGCATGGCCATCATCTCCCAGCGCAACGGCCTGGTGCCGATCGTCGAGCCCGAGATCCTGATGGACGGCTCCCACGACCTGGCCCAGGCTGTCATCGCCGCCGAGCATGTCCTGGCCATGACCTACTACTACCTGCACCTGCATGGTGTCTTCCTCGAGGGGTCGCTCCTGAAGCCGAGCATGGTCTGCGCCGGTGCCGACTGCCCGGTCTCCTACACCCCGGAGGAGGTGGCCGCCGCCACGGTGACCGTCCTCCAGCGCACCGTCCCCTCTTCGGTTGTCGGCATCACCTTCCTGTCTGGTGGTCAGTCCGAGGAGGATGCCACCCTGCACCTGAACGCCATCAACCGCTTCGACGCCGAGTCCAACCGCAAGCCCTGGAAGCTGACCTTCTCGTACGGTCGCGCCCTGCAGGCCACCGTCCTCAAGACCTGGAAGGGCCAGGCCGAGAATGTCCCCGCCGCCAAGGCCGCCCTTCTCCAGCGCGCCAAGGCCAACTCCCAGGCCTCCATCGGCAAGTACACCGGTGGTGCCGCCAGCGCCGCCGCCAGCGAGACCCTCTACGTTCGCAACTACGTTTACTAAGGGCTTGATTGGTGCGACCAGCGACCGTGGCACGACCCCGGGGTAAGGTGCAGTGCGGGGAGGGGGGCTCCTCTCTCTCTCTCTCTCTCCTCCTCTCTCTCCCTGCCCGTGGCTCGTCCTCCCCCGGCCGCCGCGAGACGACCCTCCTCGCCCGCTTCCCTTGAGCAAGGCGCACGCGTGTTGCGCTCCTTCGTGTATTCCACTGCCATCCTTTCTTCCAGAGTCAATACAGTCAACACACACACACACACCGACACATGTGCCGTCGCATTCTCCTCCTGCCGCGCCCCGGTCTGGGCGTGCCTCCCTCTTTTTGTGCCGCGCTCGTTCTCATCACTCCACGCTCTCTCGGTCCTGGACTCAGTGATTCATTTTGTTCCGGGTCATTTCTCTTGTCCCTTCAATCCCCCCGCGCCGGGATGAGCCTGTCTCGGTGTCGTCCCCGCCTTCCACAGGCCGCCCCACCCCGCCGACCATGAGCCAAATAGCCCCCACGTATGGTCCCCGAATCTGTGGGAAACAAGGGAAAGTCTATTTTTCATATATATATGTGTGTGGGGGGGGAGGGGGGAACGTCTCTGCAGGGAGCTCCGTTGCACAGGGGCGAACACGCACACGGGCACACAGCAAGCGCGCGGATGGGCCCCAACAAAGACAGGTGAAATGATGCCCCGAAGAGGAGGGAGGGAGAGAAGGGGGGGGGGGGGTCGCAGCACATCCATTCGGCCGAGAGAATGGCAAAGGTGACGGCACACCCGCGCGGGGCGCACTCAAAGATCCGAGGTAGAGCGCGAGGCGCGGCCAGCACGCGCATGGCCGGCGGTGTCGTCCGTGGCATCGTGCCAGTCGTCGGCGTCTCCTGGCCCGGCATCAGCCTCAGCATTGGGGCCATCGCCGCCGCCGCCGTCGCCGCCGCCGGTGGTGTTCAGCTCCTCATCCGGCTCCCCGGCTGGGTGCTGCTCTTCGTTGTTGGTGGCGCCGGGATCGGCCTTGTCGTCGGTGGCCGTGGCGTTCTTGGCCGCCTCGGCCGCGCGCTCCTTGGCCAGCTTCTCCTTCTCGAGGGCCTCGCGCGCGGCCTTCCGGGCAGCCGCCTCGAGGGCCTGCCGGGCCTTGGTCTCGACGCGCTTGACAGACCGGCTGACAGCATCCAGCGCGCTGGCCAGCGACCGGGTCTTCTCTTCCCAGTCGCTGGCCGCCTGGAGCGGCGGGTCGCACGCCAGCGGCCCATCCGGCGACCCATCCACCGAAGAGCTCAGGGCATCTGGGCGAACCTGCAGCGAGATCATCTGGTCCTCGCTGGCCGCGCCACCCGGCACACAGGGGGCATACGGGGCCGATGCGCCGGCCGCCGGACGAAGATGCTCGCCCAGCCGGCCATCATCCACCGCCGCCACCAGAGCCATGGCACCGGCAACGTCGGCATCGGCCAGCCAGGCGTCAACCGCCTCGACCGCCGATCCGAGGGCCGCCACGGCGCCAGACACCTCGGTCGAAGCCTTCACGGCTTCCGCATGCTGGGTGCCCTTCAGCAGCGAGGCGGCGCCCTGCTCGATAACGGCGACAGCCGCAGCGCGGGCGTCTACACCAGGTGAGGAGGAGAGGGCGCCGGTCGAGACATAGGGTCACGAGAGGGAGAGCGAGAGAAGGAGAGGGGGAGAGGAATGAGTCGCTGGCCGACTTGCACAGCAAAGAAGGGGAGGCGGGGGGGGAGCGAGGGGGAAAAATGGCAAGAAGGGACGAGGGGCAAGGCTGGTCGGTCACGCACTCTTGACGGCCTCAAGCCCCGGGCCAAGCTGAGCCCAGGCATCGCGCCGGGCCAGGATCGTGCGCTCGAGGTCCTGCAGCTGCTCAAGGCGGCGCTGATACTCGGCGGTCGGGGTGTCGTCATGCTGCCCGGTGCCCGGCTCGTAGTCCTCATACCAATCGCGGAACTCCGACACCATGTTGGACAGCTCGCGGCGCTCGAGCCCCAGGGCAAACCGGGCAAAGGCCGCACCCGGCCAGGGGGACCCGGCGTCGGCATACAGGAACTCATCCTGCGCCGCGCTGAGGGCCCCACCAATCCGGTAAATGGCCCCCTCCAGGGCATTCATCGAGTCGTGCCGAGCCCGACGATCGGCCTCGGCCTGGTCAACACGGGCAATTTGCTCCCGGGCACGGGTCAGCTCCTCGGCCGACAGCCCCGCCGGCTGGCAGGTGATGCGCGACTTGAGGGGGATGACCGTCGACCGGGCCGCGGCCTCCTGCTGGAGCAGCTCCGCCGCGGTGGCATTGCCACCAGCCGTGATGATGACATCCGAGGCCCCGATCTTGGGGGAGGCACTCTCATCAGCCGGCTCGGCCGCGACCGTGGTATCGGTCGGCTGGGCGAACTCCTCATCCTCGGCGGCGTCCTTGTCCGCCGCCTGGGCCTTGTTGCCCTTGATGAATGAGAGGATGTTGCCTGGGGTGGTGGGGGTGGGGGTGCGGCAGTGGCAGGGTGTTGGAGGGAGGGGCGACAAACCAGCGGTCAGATCACATGCCGGAGGGAGGGAGGGAGGGAGGGAGGTCGGTGGGGCCCGGATTGCGGGGGCGGCGGCGGCGGCGGCAAACGCACCAATGATACCGGCCTTGCCGGAGTTTGTGGCCTCGGTGGCCAGGCCAAGTGCCTGGGAGGCCTCGGGACTGACGTGCACCGAGGAATTGACCACGCCAAGCAGCCCGGCTCCGAAGGAGTCCAGGGACAGGAACATGTCCAGGGACAGGGCATCATCCAGCAGGCCGGCCGGGGCGGCGCCGGCGTCAAGCGCACGCAGGGCCTGCTGCACGGCCACCAAAGCCGGCCGCTGCCCGGGGGCCACCTCCACATCCAGGCTGCACAGGGCCCCGGTCTCGGTGGCGCCGATCTGCACCGGGACCGAAAGCCGACCCGTGGCCGCGGCATCGGCAAAGGTGTCCTCGAGCCGATCCAAAAAGGCCGGCGTCACGGGCAGGGTAGTGCGGTCGACCAGGCGCCCGACCGGCCGAGCCAGGGCCCGCCGCGAGGCGGCCGTCTCAAAGAGCGGCACCTCGACCAGCGGGGCGTCGTCCGTGTCGGCGGCCAGGCGGGTCGGCATGAAGACCGGGACCGGGGGGTGCTCGCGCACGCGCACCGTGCGCGTGCGGAAGGTCGACAGAAGAGAGGCCGCGCGGAAGGCGCCACCCAGAGCGGCCGCCTCGTCGGCATTGATGTTGTGGGCCAGGGTCTCGACATTGAGGGCTTCCCGCAGGGCACGCTGGACCAGGGGCACGCGTGTGCCACCGCCAAAGAGCTTGACACTGGTCAGGTCGTCGGCACTCAGGCCGGACCCGGCGAGCGCCGCGCGCACCGTGGCCCCAATGCGCTGGACGATCGGGGCGGCCAGCTCCTCGAAGGTGGCCCGGGAAATGGGGGCCGAAAAGTCCAGCCCATCATGCAGGCCCTCCACACGGGAGATGGTCTCCACGTTGACCGAGAGGACCTGCTTCACGCGGGAGGCCTCATGCAACAGGCGGGCCCGAGCGCGGGGCTCCGAGTAGACCGGGGTCCTGTCCGGAGGGCGGGGTGTAATGGTTGGGGGAGGAGATGTGTAGGGGGGGGGGGGGGGGGAGGGAGGTCAGCCACAAGACTCCAGGGAGACGCTCAAGGCGCGGACCGAGGGGCAAGGCGGTGGTAGGGGTCACGTACTTGCGCTTGTGCGCCCGGTCAAAGAGCGAACCGAGGTGCATGGCAAGCAGCTCATCCAGGGCCCGGCCACCGGAGTTGACATCATGCGTGTGGCTCAGGACATTGAGCTCGAGCGGATCGCGGGCAGTCGGCGCGGCGGCAGTCTTCTTGCCCTTGACCGTGCCAATGGGCGGCTTCGGCACGATGCCCACCACACTGGCGGACACGCTGCCGGCGCCGATGTCCACAAAGAGATGGGTCTCCTTCTCGGACAGACGCGTGCCAATCGCATATTGGAGGGCGGCTGGAAGGGCGTGTGGGGGGGGGGGGGCGGGGAGAGAGAGAGAGAGATCGCGCGTATGCATCAGCAGCATGGCAAGATGGGTGTCAGCAACATGAGGCAGGTGGCGGCAGCCGGCCGAGTGTCGGGCCGTCTCCCCCCCCCCGCGGCCAGAGTGACGAGCGAGGGCGTACCGGAGGTCGTCGAGTGGGTGAGCCCCAGGACATTCAGGCCGGCCAGCTTGGCGGCGTTGAGGATAGCCTTGCGCTGGGGCTGGGTGAAGTACGAGGGAATGACCAGGACTGTGTCGGTGACAGGCTCGCCGGTGGAGTGCGCGGCAAAGGTGGCCGCCTCGGCCAGCTGAATGGCAATCAGCTCCTGAATGGGCGACGCCCAGGCAAAGCGAAGGGGGCAGGGAGGGGGATGGGGGCGACGGTTAGGGAGGAGGGACGAGGCCAGAATGCACAGCGGCCCGCGGGCGGGCGAGGGAGGGCGGGACCACAGGGAAGGCCAGGGGATGGCGCGCACCTCGACATGGAATTCGGCACCATCTGGACCCTTGAGCAGCAGGCGATCAGCCCCGGTTTCCTGGTCCTGGCGCACGACCACCTGGTTGGCAGAGCGCTCCAGATAAGAGATCACCTTGGGATGGTCGGCCGGCAGGCCAAGAATGTCCAGGAGGCCGGTGTAGGTGTGGTGCGGCTGGCGCGAGGCCGATGCCAGGGCCGTGTCGCCGATGAGGCGCTCGCCGTCCCGGGCGAAGCCGATCGATGACGCGGTCTTCCGCTGGGACGAGGGGTTGAGGGCGATGTCCATCGGCGAGCCGGGCCGGACATAGGCGACCTGGGCGCAGATCGGGCAGACATGGGGTGGGGCGGGGCGGCGGCAGGGGTAATGTCAGGCACAGCAGCCAGAGACCGGGGTCGAAATCCGAATGGGCGCGTACCTTGAACCACTCGGAGCCATAGTCGATCGACATGACCGACGCGGCGCTGGCCGTCGAGGCGAGGGCCATACCCAGCAAGGCCAGCGTGCTGACCATCCGGCCGAGAGGCTGGCGCCGCCCGGAAGTTTCGGAGGCGGTCATGTCAGGTAGGGGGGGGGGGGGGGGGGGATGCTTTCGTCGGAGAGAAAGAGGAAAGGCAGGGGAAGGGGGGCGGGTGTGGGAAAGTGTGGTACCAGGCCGGGAGGGGGCATCAAGCCGGCGGGCATGCTTTTGAGGCTGCGGGCTCCGGCGGAGGTCCCACCCCTCGCCCTGCGCCCCAGAAGTGTGCCGGCCGGGGGTGGGGCTGATTATGCCGCGGCTTCCGCGAACACCGGGCCGTGTGTGCACCGGTGGCGGGCATGATGTACATCTGTCTCTGGGCACGGATGTTCGCGAACACCGAGGACAGGGCCCGAAGGAAAAGGGCAGGGGGGGGGGAGAGGGGGGGGGGGGTTAACGCGGCCATGGCTGCTGACACACGGCGAGTCGATGCCCCCCCGCCAAGCTGTCCCCCCTGGTCCTGCCTTGGCCAGCGCGCTCGGGACACATGCGCGTGTACACACACATACGTACACACACATACACGAACGGACACATACACGAACGGACACACACACACACACACACACACACACACACACACACACACACACACACAAACAATGGGCATTTCGCATGGAGGGGGGCGGCCCGAGAGAGCGCGGATCTGTCAACACCGGCAATCGGCGGGTCCCGCCTAGCCCCGCGGCCCGGGGGCGGTGGTGGCCGAGAGTGCGGAAGCAATTCATCCGTTCTAGAAGGGGGGGGGGAGATGCCCGGTTCGGGGCGGGGCTGGGGCCTGTGTGTATGTACGTGTGGGGGCGCGCGGGGGCGGGGCAAGACACGCCCGGGCGATACATTTGTTGAAAGTCTATTGGTCGGGAAGAAAAGTCCCAGTCACGTGCGGGAGATGGCTACATATCAGCGCACTGGTGGTTGTTCCGGCGGCAGATGGCTTGGTCGATCTGGCGGGCTGGGGCGGGGGGCAGAAAAAAGGCCCCCCCCCCCCCGAGGGGCCCTGCCCGTGTCTCCTTTGCTCACTTGCCAGCCTTCTCCTCCTCGGACGGAGAGGAGGTGGCCTGCTGCTCGGAGCCGGGCTCGCCCTCACTCCCGACAGCCGGAGAGGACCGGAGCGTGGCCATGTCCAGGGCCGGGAGTTGCTGCGACTCGATGGCCGGGTTCTCCAGGCGGTTGGCGGCCACCAGCGCGTCGGCCCGGGCGGCGGTCTCGGCAGCCTTGAGCTCCTCGATGCGCATCATCTTCTGCCGGGTCTGCTCCATGAGCTCGGCGATGTCCTTGGACACGTAGTTCTCGTCATGCTTGGCGATCAGGAGGTTACTGCGGAACAGCATGGCCTCCCGGTCGAAGTGGCCCTCCACCACGACACTCTGGCCCTCCTTGAAGAGATCCGGCAGCATGGCATCACCGCGGTAGATGACGGCCACATCGTTCATCAAATCCGTCAGGATGAACACACAATGGTGCATGTAGTCCAGCGACCGGAAGGACCCGGGCTTGACCATGCCGCCCACGCGAATGACCGGCATCGATTGGAGGACATCCGCCGAGGGGGGATTGATGGTCACCTGCCCCGGCTCGAGGAAGGCATGCAGCAGCGACGGGTCATCGATCTCCTCGCCGAGAAGCTGCGTTGGGGTCACATAGACGGCCAGCTGGGCGCCGAAGCGCTGGAAAAACAGGTGCGTCGCGCCAGCAAGACCGACGACACCCACGGCCGCCATGATGATCCTTTCGTGCAGGGGTGGAGGGCGGGAAGGGGCGGGGGGAAGCAAGGTCCTGGAGAGTTAGACCAAAGGGAGAGGGAGAAGGAGGGAAGGAAAAAGGTGTCGAGCCGCCGAGATGACACGCACCGCTTCTTCATGCGGTCCTTGGCAATGCGCTCCTGCATGGCCTTACGGTGGGTAGCACTGGATGGGGAGGGGGTGGGATGGTAAGTGGGGGGCCGCGGCCGAGGGCATGGGCCGGCGAGGGGGAGGGGTCGCACGTAGCGCTGCGGGAGGCGGTGGCAGCAGCGCCAGCCTCCTGCGAGTACATGCGGGCTGCGTCCGGGCGAGAAGTGAAGCAGAAGGCAGAGTGTGTGTGTGTGTGTGAGAGAGAGAGAGAGATAGAGAGAGGGCGGGGCGGGGATGGGCGGTGAACATGATGTTGAGCCACAGCGAGGGGGAGGCAGACACAGAGGCGGGCGCACCAACACCACGGGCAGAGGCCGACTCCTGGGATGTCAAGATCGGGATGAGACGATAGGGGGGTGTCAGAGAAGCGGACGAGCTGTGGGGAGAGCCGGGCGAGGGGGGGTCGAGGTGACCCACGCGAGCCATGATGGCAGGGCAGACGCACAACAGGCTGAGCCAGAGCCATCGGAATGCGGGCGGTCTGGGCGCGCAGAGGCGGGCCAGCACGCAGAAGGACGCGAGATACAGTGCGAGAGAACATATTCCGGAGCCAGGAGAGGGTGGGGGGGGGGGAGTGGAAGGAAGAAGGAGAGAGAGGGGGAGAGAAAGAGAGAGAGGGAGGGAGAGAGAGGCAGGTGGTGGGAGGGGGACAGGAGGATCTCTGTCCGGACGCCCCGATCTCCGGGCCGGTGCTCTCACATGGGAGTCTCTTCGGTGAGACCTGGCATCCTTCTGGCCGCCCCGGATGGCGGCCGGGCGCAGCACAGCATAGACTGGGCCAACGCTCCAAGGATGCGGATGGTGTGTGTGTGTGTGTGTGTGTGTGTATGTGTGTGGCAGGCACACATGCGCACGCCCGGCCCCTAAACGTGGTGCGAGCGGTGGAGCGCGCGGACACGTGTCGCAGATTAGCAGGATCATATGACTCCAAGGCGCGCACGGGATCGGCGCGATCCTCTCATGGCTCCAATCCCCGGTCGCGCGCTTGCCCGCGGATGGGGGCCCGGAGAGTGCCGAGGACGAGGGGGGTTTTCCGGCACCGGCCGCCCCCACATGCCGACACGGTGGTACCCAAGGCACCTCACATCCCTCCCCTCCCCCCCCCGCCCCCGCCCCCCTTCTGCCCCCTCTCCTGTCTCATCCCCGCCGCTGCTTGCTGCCTTTCCCCCCCCCCCCCCCCCCCTCTTTTCCTGGCACGTGGAATTCCGCTCCTCCGGCTGCCTTCACCGCTCCTCCATCAACACGCGCATCCATCCGGGAGCCGGGCCCCGTGGTGATCTGCGAGACCGAGCCCGGCACATGAGGCCTGGCCTATGGCGACGGCCGCTGAGCCAGTCAGCGCTCGGCGGTCGCTGCTTGGGCTCCATGGCTCGGCCTCTATCCAGTCGGCCGGTTCTCTTTGACGATGGCAGTGACGATGACGACAGTGACAGCGATATGGGCTTCGGCCATCCCGGCGAGCCGCCGTTGGGGAGGGATCCTTGGGCCGCCAGCGCGGCCGCCGGTGCCATTCACTCCTCCCTGTCACACCTGAGTCCCAGCGAAGCGAGCATGCTCCTGCGTCGGGCGCGGCAGCTGGCCCCGAATGCCACTCGGTCCTTCCTAGATCGTCTGCCGGTGGCCAGGGCGGCATTGGCGCCGGTTCCCGAGCCGCAAGCCCCGTCTGCCCCACCTGCTTCGGCTAGGCCGGCCGCCTCGGCCGTTCCGGCCTCCCCCTTGGCCACACCGCTGCCGCTGGTGCATTCGCCAGCCCACTCGCCCTCGAGGGTGGCACTGCGGCTGGACATGCCGGGCGCCTGTGCAACCGCCCCGGCCAATGGCCTCCCCCTTCCCCGGCGCTTTGCGATGGCCGACGAGGCGGAAAGCATTCGCGAGCTGGTATCCGCCGTGGCCGCCGTCGGCGCGGTGCTGGGTGCCTGGCAATCGGAGGACTTCCGCCGGGAATTTTCCCCGACGCATTTGGCCGATGGTCCGCCCGGGGAATGTGCCGCGTGTGCACGGCACCGAGCTTCCCTGCCGCCGCCATTGCCTGGCGCCGGCGACACTCTCCCGCGGCCCGAGCGCTGTTCGCGCCTCCGGACCGCCCTTCACATGGCCCAGGTTGCCCGATGGGCCGCTCATCTGGGCTCCGGATGGTCCTCCAGCCTGGCAGCCGCCCCGGGCTCGGCTTCCTGGCTGGCGCCCCTGTGGCAGGCAGCCGGCCTCGGCAACTTGCCTCCCGCGGCGGCCATCGGGCCATGGCATCAAATTCGCGGGCCTCTTAGCACTCGCGAGGTGCACGACCTGGTCGGCCGGGTGACCTCGCTCGGGTCCGTGCAGCGGATTCTCGGCGCATCACGATTGGCCCTCGCCCGGCCGCTTGGCCACCCCGGCGCCGGGACCGGCAGCCAGGCAGGCGCTTGGGTCCTCCCGCACTTGGTTTGTCTGGATCCCGGGCGATGGCGTGTGAGTCAAGCTGGCGATGCCTTCTTTGCCATTTACGCCCTGGCTCCCGGACCCGAGGGAGGCGACGCGGCGCCCGGCCGATCGCCGAGCCACCCACTCCCTCTACCGGCGCTGCCTGCCCGACCTTCCGACACATGTCCGTGTGCAAAGGCCGGGCTGTCTGCCGTGTGATAGACTGTTTCCCCCCCTCCCTTTTTATAAAACGAATTATCCCCCCCCCCCCCCTCTCAGGATCCTCCTCCATTCTGCAAACGTCCATTGGAGTGTCTATGTTTGTATTGCGTCCCTGGCGAGACTTACCTCCGCGAACGGGAAGAGAGAGGGAGGATGTGTGCGCGAGCACGCGAGAAAAGAAGAGGGACAGAGTACGTATGCACTCACAGACCGATCACTTGCATGCTGGCTTCGATCTTATCATAGGCTCTGAAGCGGGGGCGCAGGCAGGACATTGGGCTGTGTCAGTCGGACAGGCAAACGAGACAGAGAGACATGCATGGAGACGGCAGCGACAGAGAGGACGCAATGGGGGATCAAAGGGGGGGGGGGGGGGGGCACGAACTGGACAAAGTGCTCAACCAGGGCCGGGGTGGACACCAGTGCTGCGGGAAGGGCCCCACGCCAGGCGGCAACCCATTGGAGAATTTGCCGGAAGAGAGCGCGCGCAGCTGCGAGGCCGTCCTCACGAGCGGCCTCGGTCGCCACATGTGCCAGCCACTCATCGAGCACGGTCATCCACTGGGGGAGAACACCGTGGGTCCAGAGACGCAGGTACGCCGTTGCGGGGAGGACCGTGCCAAAGGCAATCAGAATCCGGAGGGGACCTGATGTGTTTGTGTATGTATGGGTGTGTTGTTCCTCTGAGTCAGCAAACACACGCTGGAGATCTGCCCCAGCAGCGGGCAATTTTGCGTCGATCGCCGGGAGGAAAAAAAGAGAGAGCAAGAGAAAGAGAAAAGAGAGAGCGAGAGAAAGAGAAAAGAGAGAGCGAGAGAAAGAGAAAAGAGAGAGAGATAGCTGGGAAAAAAGACAGGCCCGTCATATCCCTCCCGGCGACATACCGGTATTCTGGCCGGATGGATCGATAACCAGGCGTTTGATGTGATGGAAGGCGGCCGGGGGAGATGCCGACCCGGGGCCCACGCCGGCCAAGTGTGCCAGCTTCGGATACACGCTGGCCAGGGCCAGCTGCCGGGCGTGATCAGGCGACACAAGCGTGCAGGCCGGGTCGGCCGGGGCCACACGCAAGATGGCCTCGCCAGTGGGACCGCGCTCGGCCGGGCCCAGCGGCAGCAAATGCCCCCACTGGGCCACAAGCAGCGCGGCGAAGGTGCGCCAATCTGTCAGCGGCACACTTGCGGCTCCCGGCCCGGCGAGCAGATCGATCACCCGCCGGCGGATGGCCTCCACCGAGGCGAACAATTCCGCCCCGAACACCGGGCCCCAGAGGGCCACCCAGCCGGTGGACGCGGCCCCCAACTCGGGAAGCGCGTCTCGGCGCTCAAGCAAGTCAAACACCTCGGCCTGGCGCCCGGGTGACAGCCCGGCGAAGCGATCCCGACCCGTCAGAGATCGCAGGACGTGCGCCATGCCGGCATGGCTGGCCGCTGCCCCGGCCATCGGGCCGCCAGGACGGTTGAGCGCCGAGCCCGGGCGCCACGACCGGCAGGCCTCCTCCACGCGTGGCAAAACCAGGCGCGTCAGCAGGTGAACCTGCAACGTCGGCGGAAGGAGGTCCGGCTGCGAGGAGCACCAAACCTCGATGAAGTCCGACATGAGCTTCGTCGACACCGTGCATGTGGGGTTCCACTCATTACTGGGAGGGGGAGAGGCGGTCAGCGAGCCGCTGGGCGGCGTGTCTGGGCGAAACGACAGCGACGGGGGTGGATGGCAAATGCAACCCAGCGCGCGGGGGGGGGGGAGGGCGAGGCAGCACGCACATGATGGCCGATCGGACGGTCGGCAGCCAGTGCTCCCAGACAATCAAGTCGAAGTAGGAGCCAGGAGGCCCGGCAGTGCGCATGGCAGGCAGGGCCCCAGTCGAGGCCGACGCCCCGGACGATGGGACCGGCTGCCGGAGCAGCGGCCGCCAGGTGGCCAGCGCGGCATGGTCCCGGTGTGAGTCCACCAGCGGCAGGGCCCACCCCTCGGCACCGGCGGCCATGCGCTGGGCAAAGTAGGGGAGTGCCGCGGCGGCTGCCAGTTCGGCCGTGATCTCCGAGAGGCCGCCGGCCACCGGGTGCTCGTCAAGCACCTGGGCCGCCTCGGCCAGGCGATCCAGCTCGGCCACCTCCTCGACCAGGTATCGGCCGAAGAGTTCGGCCACGAAGGCCACCGGGTCGGCCAGGCCAGCCAGCGACCGGGCATCCACCGGCAGCCCATACCGCATGAGGAGAGCTCGCAAGAGGGCCGCCTGCTTGCCGGGCTGTGTCGGCGAGGGGGCGCCGCTTGTCACCCCGAACACTCGGTCCAGGGATTGGCAGAAAAAGAGAAGCTGCTCCAGGGCTGATGCCGGTGCCGCCGGGAAGCCAGCCTCCGGCGGGTAGGAAAGTGCCAGTCCAGGCGGCGATGTTGGATCTCCGCCGAGCACGGGTAACGCCCCGGCCAGCCCCTCGGCCGACTGGTCCGGCCAGTGGCGCAGCAACTCCACAAAGTCCCGGTGGAAGTGCCCGACCGCCGTGGCCAGCCGGGCCACATGGTCGGCGAGGCGTTGCAGGGCCGATGCTCGACGGGCCAGGCGCTCGCGCTGCGCTTGACATTGGGTGGCCACACGACGCCCGCGCAAGGCCCCGGCCCTGGCACGCTCCAGGTGGTCGGTGGCCTCTTGCAGGCTCTCATAGTCGTGCTCGACGAGGAGGGCCACATTGTGGCGGATTTCCGGGAAGGCCATGCCGGCATGGTAGCGCGTGTGCCCGTCCGGCAGGTCGCCAGCCAGGGCGGCCGCCGAGCCGGGCCCCGCTCGGAGGACCTCCTCCACCGAGAGGGCAGGCGCCTCGGCCGCGCGAATCTCCTCCAACGTGCGGAAGACCAGCTTCGGGGGCCGCGGCCGCGCCGGGCCCCGGGGAGCGTCCTCCACATCCGACATGTCCGACTCATCGGATCCGGACAAGGAGGCGGCCCCGCTTTCGCTGTCGCTCTCGCTGCCGGAGGAGGAGGAAGAGGCCGCGGCCCCGCGTCGACTGGCGCTCCGACCGCGCCGCGTGCGCTGTCCCCGCGAGCCGGGCCCCTCCCCGCCGTCAATCGTGAGGCCAGCCTGCGGGTCGCGCACGACCGCCTTGATCGGCTCAACCAGACCTTGGCCATGCTTGCCCAGGCCGCGACCCTGAGGACGGATGTTTCGGGTGGCAGCAGGAGATGGGGAAGGACATTAGAGGGAGTGGGAGGGCGAAAGGAGCCACAGCCAGAGGAGAAAGAGAGGGGGGGAGAGAGAGCGAGAGGGGGGGAGAGAGAGCGAGAGAGAGCGAGAGAGAGAGAGAGAGAGAGCGCGCGCGCGAAAGAAAGAAAGACAGAAAGAGCAGGGAGGGGACGGGCAAAGCCGATGGCGGCGTACCGGCTGGAAGCCCATCTGCAAAAGGAGCTTCATGCCGATGCCCTTGGTGTGGCGCTCGAAGGAGGCGAAATCCCGCGACAGCGGCTGCTGGACGGCCGGCCGCGTGGGCTTCCGGCGACCCATGCTCGAGGAGTACTCCGATCGGCCGGTGGCCGGGGTGGCAGCGGCAGCGGCGGCCGGCGCCGAGGACGACGTGCCGTCAGAGTCCTCATCCGACAGGGCAATCTGCTCGGTGTTGTTGGTGTCGGCGGCGGCCTCGGGCTTCTGGCCGCCAACGATGCCGGCCGACACGAACATCATCATCGATCCGTCCAGGCTGAGTGCATATATGCCAAATGTGTCCTCGGTGTGAGTCAGATGGGGAGATGAGATGCAGCACAGGGCGCGAGTGGGAGGGCAGCAAAGGGGGGAAGCGACGCACGTCGGGCCCGAGCCAGACTGGAGGCCGAGACCGGGTGATTTGGAAGTCCGGCCGCCACCCTGACGGGCCCCCTCGAAGCCGACGAAGGCGGCCGACTCCTCATCCGAGTCGGAATCCGCCCCGCCCAGGGAAAAGAACGAGCCGTAGGCGGCCGCATCGCGGTTTATTTCCCGGCGCTTGCGAGCTGCAACACGTTAGCACACTTTCAGGGCCGGGGCAAGGTGGGCCACCTGAACCGGCAGGGGCCAAGCCCGGAGGGCGGATTGCGTTTGGAGGATGGCGCACCGAATTCCGCGTCTGCATCGCGATCGCCAGACCAGCCGGACATGCCGACGAGGGGGGGGGGGGGGGGAGAGAGAGAGAGAGAGAGGAGGCAGGGGAGAAAGGAGAGAAAGAGGAGATGGAGGAATTCGGCACAGCCCCAAGGCCAGGGGGAGGGAGGAGATGGGAAAAGGGGCGAAAGATACGGTGGAAGTGAGATGCTCACGGGCGCGAGTCGCCTGGCCAGGGCGTCCCTGCATTTGGACCTGAGCCTCCTCGCCCGTTGTCTGCCCTGCCCTGCCACACTCCACCAGCCGGGTGGACTAGCCCCAGACGTGTGGGAGGAAGAAAAAAAAGGGACCCACCATGGGAAGAGGCCAAGCCGCGATGCCGCGCGCGTACGGGCCTCCCCCCCCCCCCCCCCCCCCCCTGCAAAAGGAAGTGCGCCGAGTGCACGCGCATGCGCAGGTGTGTGTATTTTAGTGGGGGCCGAAATTCGTTGGCAGTTTACGGCTTCAAGCCAGCCGCCCCTTGGCAGAGAACTGCCGCCGGGAGAGGTTGTTGATATCGTACTCGAGGAGGGCATGCTCGGTGGCTGGGTGTGTGGGGTCGCGGCCGCGAGGCGCCCGGGCAAGGCGGGCGAGAGACGGGGGACACGGAGACCAGGAACACCGAGGCGTGTGATCGGCGGG